CCGTTTCAGATTTGTGGAAGTGTGTATGTGCTCTGACAGAAACAGCAGCCTGTGATTTTCTGGGGTGTGACATGGAGCATAGAGCTGAAATCAATCTTGGGTAATTAATTTGTGTGTCCGGTAGTCTGGCACGCTGCCCTCTTCTGGCTTCGGGAGGAAACGCACGTGGGCGAAAATTTGTTTAAACAACACTATTAAGGAGGCATCGGCCTTCCCTGCAGGCTTTTGAGGTTACTTTGTCTCTGGAATGAACATTTATTATGAATTCGGGTAATAATCGTTAGGCGTGTTTTGTGGGGACGTCTCTGCAGATGCTTAACTACGGCAAATTGACGTGGAGGACAAGAGTCAATTACTGATGTTATCTCTCCCGCATGCTAACGTTTATAGGAAGCGAATAAAAGCCAAGGGTGCCGGCGTTCTCATCTCGATTTACTGCGTGTGTGTGTGTCACATTGCGGTGCCTATCTGCTCTTCCCATCACACTCAGTTCCTCCCAGCGCGTTCTGATTAAAAACGCTGTTTATGAATCATTGCTTTATCTGCACCGCTTCGGGACTGGGGTCGGGCTACAGTCCCTGTACACTGCACAATTAAACGCATATTACAGGCCTGTGTATGTGTGTGTTTGTAGTTTTTCTGTTTTATTGATCAGAATTGATTGAGTTTGGTTTTTGTCAAGCAAGCAAGCAGATCAGGGTTCAAATATATAATCATAAAAATATATATTTTTATATATATTATATTATATTTTGTAGTTTTTAGATAGATAGATAGATAGATAGTATATCTCTGCATGTGGTGCCAACCTCTCCATCTGAGAGGGCGAGCGCCAACAGCTCCCATGGCAGCAAACCCCTGAGGGCGCTGCCACCCTCCCACCACCCCTCCCTTTCATTTCCTTCCCCTCCTCCCACGGCAGACCCCTCCATCATACTGTCCCGTCTCTCGCTCTCTGCCTGGTTACCATGGCCGGGCCGCTAGGAATGTTTACAGTTAGGGTCACATCATTCTCGTCTGCCTATATATATATATGAATTAATATTTTAAAAGAATTACATTAGGGTATTTTTTTTGTTTACTTATTATTATTATTATTAAATTATTATTAAAACTAACTAAACAGCAATAAAGCCAAAAAGAATAGAAAAGAAAAAAAACCCACCACAACCACTAAACAGGCAACAAGCATAAGAACAGATAAGCAGTGGTAGCAATCTTAAGTACAGATAGATAAACAAATAGAAAGCCTGAACCTTAGGCACCACCTGAGCTCGAAAGATTCTCGTCTGCCCGTCACTTTCGCTCTCTTTTGTACCCCACCCCCCGAAACACGCCGGCCACCGCGGGTAACTTTTGTCCTGCCCACCCCGGGGTGGTCCGCACCAGCTTATGAGGCCAATGAAATGGTGCGACCGAACCCTGCCGTGGGGTCACAGGCTTGTCAATATGGCCAGTCTGAGACTCATACAGTGCTTTAATATAAACTCACAGTCCAATCACTGTCTGGCTAGACAGAGCCTCAAAGAGTGCACTGACACAGTGGGTGACGGGAGATGTCTCTCGCAGCTGATCTACCCTTGCTTCTACAGAATGACAAAAAATAGCTTGCAAAAATTCTCATAGTTATTTAAAAACCAAAGTTATGGCCTAAACTTCAACTTCAGATATGTAGTAAAAATATAAAGTTACTGTGTATCGAATTAAAATAAGTACAGTGCAAAGCGAGCACAAAACAAGTGTTTTTCTTTGCACCTGTTTGCAACAATGAAGGTGTTCAAAGGCTGATTATTTGTTTGAGAACATTGTTTTATGATGTTAAAACGAAATGGCTTGAACATCAAATGAAAGAAGAAACAAACAGAACAAAAGGGAACTGAAACAAAAGTGACTGTTTGAGAGTGTTAGTGTGTTACAAACAAAAATAGTATGACAAAAAAATATATATATATTTTCGTTATACTAAAAACCAAAATTCAAGTTTACAAAACACCAACAAAAATCAACAATATATATATATATATATTATGCTTATATTTTTAATATAAATATACATTATGTAATAAATATTGTACTAAATATTATTTCATATTGATAATTAAAAAATGTTTTCACTCAAAAAAAAATATAAATGTATTAATAAATTTAATTATGATACATTACAACTATTTATGAACAAAAAAAAAAAAAAAA